TTGGCATAATGTGCTATGTAATCTGGGAGGAGAACTTCTATTACTGGCGTATTTGCCAGATACAATCCATCCTAAAAGGGTTTTCTGAAAAGTTGGCTGGTTAGGACCATTTTTAATTTGGCCAACAGCTAAAAGATCGAAAAATSTTTCAGCACCCAAAAGGATATCCACTTTTTTAGATTTGTGGAATTCTGGGTCCGCCAACTCAATATTGTGCGAAATTTTCCAGTCACTAACATTGATGTTATAGTCTGGATGATTTGCCGAAATGCATCGCATTTCCCAGAATTCCGCCGAAAATTCATAATTATTTAACCGCGACTTGACAAACGCGCTTAGTTTTGACYCCACTTTTGTATTGGAATTGCCAATTCCAATTACGCTTAATGTTTTGTGAAATTGACCTGGGAGCCTGAATCCAGCAAGGCTCTCGCAGGCAGGTACTCTCCACAGCTGGTCCTCACCTTGAAGGTGGGGCAGGCAGTCAAATGGTGATCCCTCGATTTGCACTGCTGACAAAGAGGCCCCCTCGTATTTGCTGCAACTAGCGCCGATTTGGTCCTGTCCATATTTTGTTGTTTCCCATCCCTCGCACTGCTTGTTGGTATGGGCTTCGTCCTTGAATTTGATGCTTCTTCCGCTGATAGCTGCTGGAATCTCCTACTTAGGGGAGCTTCACAGTCCTTCCACAGTGGCAGTTTGTCGTAGTCCAGCGTTTCTTCCCATTTGGATCGGGTGGCAGGGTCAACCTTTGTCAGTACTATGTGTATAATAATAGCGTTTGTTATATGTTTCTCATCGCCAAGCGATAGCAATGAGTCATACACCGCTGACACTTCGTCAATCATTGATCGCAATGAAGGAGCGGATGGCTTTGGGATTGTTGGCARCTCAAAAAGTTTAGATATTGTATTGAAAAATATCAAGCATTTATTATCACAAACTTTTTTGAGATTTTCTAACGCTTTCGGGTAATTTTCATCCAACATCTGAAACGCTTTGACTGTTCCCAAAGCCTGTCCAGATAGACAATTAACCAATTGGTTATATTTTTCAATATCTGGAATATTTGGATCCTTATGAACCAAGCTCTCGAACAAACTCATAAAATTTTTGAATTCTGAATATTCTCCCTTGAATTTCGGCAAATTCATTTAGGGAGCCTTGAGCTGTGAGTAGCTACAAAAAATGTTTCGGCAAGCGGAGTTTTATTTTTCGCTAAAATTGACTTAATTACTCTCTAACTCATTCCAATTCTATTGGATCTAAAGACATAGTATTTTCGAAAAGGCCTGTTTTAATGCGCAAAATACTACTTTTCGCAACCGTTCTTTGACGTCTTAACGATTTTAAGTCCGTCAACTCCTTACTTGGAGACAGGCTTGCGAGAGTTGGCTTTGGCTTGCTCATTTTGCCTTATATAAGTTGGCTACAGATATATTGAGAATCGACAACGAAAACGAAAAAATACATAAATCGATTTCCAAAATACACGAAAGCCAAATCAATAAAGTATGAGAAATGACCAATAGCAATAAAGGTTGGCAACAAATATATTTGGAATCGGTAACGAAAACGAGAAAGGATAATATCGATTCCCAAGTGGCGAAAGCCAAATTAAAAAAAAGAGCAATAGCACAATAAGAAATTTAATCGGAAAATGTCCGAACGAAAATCGACAAAAATTGCGAAAAACCGACCGATAATTGTAAAAGTGGATCGATAAAATTGCGAAAAATATAATAATTTAATTTTGTAATTAAGAATTTTTCACCTTTATTTTCAAATAAAGGGCTACCGCAAAATCCCAAAATCCCTTATTCACTTTGGCTTCGTACGTATATRTAGAAGTATGTATTAATATAAGTATATGTATATGTATGTGTATGTACAATAAATACAATACAATATAATAAATCAATATAATATAAAGTGAAAAGGGAGAGCCAAAAACTGAAAGTGCACTTGTTTTGTTGTAGTTTGCTTTTTTTTTGCACTGCTTTCAGTAATTCGCACTCGTTACATGGTGCGTCGGTTGTTTGCCGGCGCTTACGTCTCTTTGGCACAGGATGTAGCGGCAGCTCATTTCCACGACGGCAGCGTATTGATGGCAGCATCGTTGTGTCAGTAGCTTAGTGATGGCAGCGGCGTTGTGTCAGCAACTTAGTGATGGCGTTGATGTAGCAAAATTGGACACTTAGCGGCACTATATAGTTACGGGATTTTGTAGCGGCACTGGAAGCGGTAAGTATTAGTGGTACATACGTATTTAAATTCTCTTTTTACGCTTATCCAGGGATCACCGCACTTAAAGAAACACCTCCACTTTTAACATTTTATATATGTAAGTATATAAGTATATTAATCACTTTTCACGTTTTATTTAGGGAACGAAAATAGCTAATAAACGAAAAATTGGGAATGCGCGAATAATTAAAAGCCTAATTGCCTGTCACGGGAGAGAGAATATAATATTCCGATAAATTAAAACCATGTCCGTTCGAATTCACGTTCACTTTGCAAGAGAGAGTTCTTTATTTCTTAATCTAATTGCTAAGCTTAAATCTTAAAACTAACGGCTTAACCTAGTGGTAATATAAATATGTATTAAAACGGGGTAAGTATAATCATTCTCAACTTTCGTTAAATATTGTAAGAGATTATGGTAAGTATTAAGGTAAGTGATAGGTTGGTATTATGAGTGCATTATTAAGGTAGGTATTTTACAATAGACTTTCTTAATTTAATTTTCAAAAATTCAATATTTTATAATTTTTAGAATTCAATTTTTTTATTTTTATTTTAGGTTTAAATGTACGTATATATCTTGTCGCTTGACGCAACAACAACAACAACGCCCGTAAAAAGTAGATGTAAAATTGTCATTTTAGTTTTCAATTTATTTTTACGCATTTGTTATTGTAGAACAATTGACATTTAAACGGAAGAAATTCAACATTTCTGGTTGCTACAACTCAGAGCAACAAGGAAACAATTTGCGTATGGATGGAAATGGKAATCCAATATATTGTTAAAATGCATTTCTTAAAAATTTTTACTTTATTATTTTTACATCTTTTTCAGGTGTTTTTAACATGTTAAAAACTATTTCCTCCCAACTACAATAATTGTCTTCCAAGGTTGAAAATATGGAAAGGAAGATGGACAGCTTTTTGAAAGAAAATGTAAGTTGATGTCCATAGAACTTTTTATTGCTCTATAAGTATTCATCAATCCAAAGAAAACGTATTGTTTAGATGTTGTTGATTAGGAATTATTAAAGTATTCTCTAACTTCACTTGTTCTTTTCAGATAATTCAAAAAAGCGAAGAACTAGCAAAAAAAAAACCGTCCCCGAATGTAAAGTGCTAATTCGGAGAGTTCACCAATCAGTATGCTGACTGAGTGGCGAAGAAATCGACAACACTCAAACAGAAATTGCTTCCACCCTACCATTAACAACACTAGCTGCAGCTTTGGAAATGGAAGAAAAACTGAAGTGCGAAGAATTCGCTACAGCAATTGTTAGTAACGTATACAATTTCTTCAATAAACAATACTTATTTTGCATAATATTTTCAAATTACAGAAACAGTTTGTTTTAAGGATGAGAGATAGTTCCGACAGTATATGTGAGGTGTTGCGGCATCTGTACACTGACGAATTCCTGAGTTTGTGTAACTGGGACGGTAGGGGAGGCAAGCAACCGCTATCGAAATTTCTGTTGTCCAACATATT